AGAACAAGTATGTGTTACTGGCCACGGATTACTTCACTAAATGGGTGGAAGCAGAACCATATCCTAGCGTGACTCAGACTCATGTGAGACGATTTATTTGGAACAATATTATCTGCCGTTTCGGCGTTCCCAGATCAATAGTCATGGACAATGGCACAAACCTCGACAGCAGGCAAGTAAGAAAGCTGCTGGAGGAGTATGGAATCAACCAGAAGTTGGCTGCAGTAAGTCATCCTCAGGCCAACGGACAAGCAGAAATCACAAACAGAACCATTTTCACCTGCATTAAGAAGAAGCTGGAAGATCATAAAGGGAAGTGGTTGGATGAACTCCCGAACGTTCTATGGGCTTACAGAACCACCCCAAGGCGGCCGACTGGGGAGAGCCCGTTTGCAATGGCGTATGGTACCGAGGCAGTTATACCGGTTGAGCATTTGGTCCCCACTATCAGAAGCTTAGCATGGAGTCGAGATCAGAACGACAAGATGTTAAGATTGAACCTCGATATGATAAACGAAAGGAGGGACACAGCGGCTATAAGGTTAGCATCGTATCAGCAAGTATTGGCGAATAGTCACAACAAAAGGGTAAAACACAGGGATTTTGCCCCTGGCGATCTGGTTCTAAAAAGAAAGGTGGGGATGGTCAAAAAAATGATGCCACCCTGGGAAGGCCCATACAGAATTGCAGAAGTCATAGGCAAGGGGGCATATACGTTGGAAACCATGGCGGGAAGGTTGGTCAGCAAGCCCTGGAACGCCACGTCTCTGAAGAGGTACTACCAATAGAAGCTAAGTTTCGGCTTTAATTGGATGTTGTTTGTTGTCAATCAAATACGTATGAATGTGCAAGTTACTGAAATTTACAAAAAAAAATAACTTTCTTTTCCAACGGCCTACTAAAAAATGAAAAGCCAAGTGGCAAGTGGCATTCTAGCCGAGCGCCAGGCACTTAAGCAAGATAAGTGGCAGCTGGCACTATAAGCCGAACGTCAGACACTTGCTAAAAATTTAAAGCCAAGTGGCAAGTGGCATTCTAGCCGAGCGCCAGGCACTTAAGCAAGATAAGTGGCAGCTGGCACTATAAGCCGAACGCCAGACACTTGCTAAAAATTTAAAGCCAAGTGGCAAGTGGCATTCTAGCCGAGCGCCAGGCACTTAAGCAAGATAAGTGGCAGCTGGCACTATAAGCCGAACGCCAGACACTTGCTAAAAATTTAAAGCCAAGTGGCAAGTGGCATTCTAGCCGAGCGCCAGGCACTTAAGCAAGATAAGTGGCAGCTGGCACCATAAGCCGAACGCCAGACACTTGCTAAAAATTTAAAGCCAAGTGGCAAGTGGCATTCTAGCCGAGCGCCAGGCACTTAAGCAAGATAAGTGGCAGCTGGCACCATAAGCCGAACGCCAGACACTTGCTAAAAATTTTTTAAGCCAAGTGGCAAGTGGCATTCTAGCCGAGTGCCAGGCACTTAAGCAAGATAAGTGGCAGCTGGCACCATAAGCCGAACGCCAGACACTTGCTAAAAATTTAAAGCCAAGTGGCAAGTGGCATTCTAGCCGAGCGCCAGGCACTTGCCATAAGCAAACACACGGCAAAGCTAATATAAAAGAAAAGAGAGAAAAGATATATATGTATTGAAAATAGGTTGAACAGAGCACAACACAAAGGGAAAAAGAGTTCTGTCATTTCATTGATATTAAGCATTGAGTTTACAAAAAGTGAGATGTCCATCGTTACAAAAAGATATGGAATGGAAGAGTCCAAAGAAGCCCTAGCTAGACGCCTCAGTACCAACAGCATCCTGGTTGTGCCGACCCGCCTCTTCGGCCCCATCAGCCGTCTCACCTTCACGAGGTGGGGAATCAAGATGAATGACTGAATCGTTCGGCTGGGGCTCAGCGTCAGCAGTGGCTATGGAAGGTACCACAGTTGGCGATTGAGGAGCGGTCAGAGGCAGAGCGATAGGAGGGGCTGTGATGATCCTTGAGGAAGCAATGTCCTGGCACTCATCGAATATGCGCTCCGCTTCGGTGGGTTCTGGGTCGACGTAGACCCCCAGAGGTTCGATCCCTAGATCCTTGTCGACCTCATCTGGAGTGGAACTGGTCTGTCCCTCATCCGGAACTCGGTTGGCGAAACCTTCCCGGAATCCTTGAGCATATCTAAGAGCACCGACCCTTGAGAACCGAGCGTAAAGAGCCAGCATCCCACCGCTCACTCTGCTGATCGCATCGATCAGAGCGGTACGCTCGTCCAGAGCTCTTTTCTCAAAAGCCATCCGAGCAGACTGTTCGTCAGCCAGAAGGCGCTGGAGTTCTGCCTTTTCGTCTCTGATTGAGTCACGCTCAGTCTGCCAGACGCTCTTTTCAAGCTGGAGGGCATCCTTCTCATCCTGAAGAGAGTCATTCTCCTTCTTCAGGACATCTCTCTCTTGTTCAGTTTTTTCAAGCCGAGCCAGTACCTCGGTATTCTTCATGGCGAGAAGGTCGTTCTCTTTATTAGCCACCTCCAGGCTATCAGAAAACTTACGCGCACTGGCGTTCCCCATCTCCACCTGCTTCTGCATAGCCATCATTCCGAACAATGTCTGCATAGGTGTACATTAAGAACGGTTAAGCCAATAGTCAGGTTGGGCGAAGGCAAGACCAAATAATATGAGAGAATTCATGAGTTGGAAAATAAAAGTCACCTCCATAGCAGATTGGGGAAAGCGGCTGAACACATCCTTCTGGGATAGGCCCTTTGCCGCCTCAAGGTCTTTCGGAGTCCACATGCTCCTATAGTACGCCATGGCAGTCTGGCCATCCTTCAGCATGGTTTCGTTCGGTTCACGAACGTCCCATCCGTTCGGGTGTACCGAGGGGCCCATGGCGGTAAGGTGGGAATAGAAGGGTGGCCTGAAGCAGAAGCGGAGCCACCAGCTGCAGTAGGCCCAGAGGGAGCAGGAGCTCTGATCGCACGGTGCAAGAGAGCACCCGGCCCGGAGACCCGGGTCCTTCTTATGAGAGGCTCCTCCTCAGGATTGACCTCACTGTCAGGATGAGGCCTTTTGCCTCGTTCTTTGTCCCGAACGCCCCCAGCAGCAGCAGGAGCTGTGGTAGTTTGGGGAGACGCGCTCTGGTTGGTAGCAGGGGTGCTGACAACAGAGTTAATAGCCACTGTGCTCGAGATAGTGTCAGAGATGGTGGCTGAGGAAGAGGCTGATGCTGGAGAGGAGGTCGCCCCAGCAGCAGGAGTGGCTGGGGGAGTATTTTTCTTCCTGCCAAAAGAAGGAATCTGAAGCCTGCTCATGTTGTAGCCGAGTGATGAGAGCGCTAAGAGGTTGTCTGAAGTGAGGAGATCTGAGCAGGAAGGAATATCGTTCAGAACGTATTTCTTCAAGTAATTACTCCTATCCCTGCAAACACTGTAGCTCAAGTCATCACAAGGTATTCCTAAGGAACGGCATAAGAAAGTACAAAAACGGGGAACGCATGTTTCGCAGGGGCAATCATGTTTATGAGATTTGAATTTCTTATAGGAGGAGACAGAACAGACACCAAAGGCGCTCGGGATTGGGTAACCCTCTGCAGCCGGCGAAGACCAAGCCCCACTAACGCCCACGATGCTATCCCTCCAACCCTTTTCAGATTTTATTGTGTCCGTACATATGGACATCTTCTCGAACGGGTAGAGGTGGTAGAAGGGTTCGTTAGTACAGATCTTACTGACCTTATAGCACAGAAGAAGGTCTATGAGGTCAAGGTCCAGATTTCTGTCACGCATCAACAGGAGCATAACGGATATGATTCTAAAGAAGTTGGGGTTGACCTGCAGGGGGGATATCCCCAATCTATTGAAGACATAACTAAAGAAAGGGTGCAGAGGGAACCTAACAACATTCAATTGAAGGTTCGTGAATAAGACTTCGCCGGGCAGGAGGCCGGCACCGGTCATAATGTTAACGTCCTGAGGGCAAACCCTAACTTCGATGTTGTCAGGAAGTCTAAGTCTCATACGAAGAACATCCAGATCTACAACCATGGTGGAAGTGCTTGAAGGATCTAAAAGGGGGTAAATAGAAACCTGCCGAAAGTAAAAAGGAACAAAACTAACCTCAGAGGACTGCAAGATCGCTGGAAGAATGACTCTTGAAGGATTTCACCAGAAAAAGCTTAGCACTGTTCTAGAAAGAGAGAGATTTGACTGATGATGGAGACGGTAAAAGGACGTGAAGTGGTATTCTAGAGCTTTATAAAGGCGAGGGGGGCCCGAGGGCCGAAGCGTCGGGAAGGCGAGAAATTCCTCGAGCCCCGGAACATTGATTCTGGATCTGACCGTCCGTTCCCCCACGTGGCTTTCTCGAGCCGTCAACGTCATGATGAGACGCCATTAATAATTACCCCCTTATTAAATAAGGGGCAATTATGGGGGCAGTTGAGGAGGCCCAGGACGACATGGGCCGGATCTGACTTGCAAGCACGACATCCGGTCCGTACAGCTGGGTCGGCCCATAAAAAGACACTGCCATATGGGCCGAACGCGAATAAGCCCATCAAAGGTGACCAGGACTTATGGAGGAACAGGCCCAGATCCAGCAATCCGTCAATATTTGTAAATATCTTGTAAATATATTGTAAATATCTATAAAGAGGGGAAGGAATGAAAAGAAGGGGGGGATCTTTTGGTTGAAGTGTAAGAATTCTAGAGAGAGAAAGAGGGAATGAATTTCTTGCATCTTCAGTAGAGAATCACAATGATAAAAATAAAAAATAAAAAAAATAAAAAAAATAAAAATGGTCAGTTGATACTGCAAGGTTCATTCACAGAAATAAAAAATGAGGACTTCATCAAAATGCAATTATGCAATTAGTTAGAGACAAAAATGTGCCAACCATGTTTCTATTTGGACATGTAATAATGACGAAAAAAATTTCTAACAAATCAACATATTCGAATAGACACCAACTAGAAATGGGAAAAATATAATAAAGAACAAAGTTTGTGATTTCCTCTCCTACCTGTTCCTGTATCCTCTGTTCGGATTCACTTTCCTGTGTCGCACCTTAGTAGTGTCATCGTCATCATATAATAAAACTAGACTCTCCACATACGTGGCCACTGTCAAACTATGAACATTCCAAAAGGACAATGGAATCTTAAATGTACATTCTTTTGGATCGTACACTGCTAGTTCCCTGTTGCCAATTTCCACCAAAACTTCACCTGTGTTCCTCAAACACAAAGGCTTCAAGTAGCATAAAAAGGTGCTTCCTCTTTTAGCTGAAATGGTAATCCATTTAGTCCATGATTCCTTCTTCCCATATTCTTTCATTGCCCATACATCAACCTGTGTAGTATCCATCCATCCATACACACAAAGCCATCCTCTCAAACCAACCAAACCAAACTCAACATTTTTACCCCCAAAATCCGGTTTCGGCACCTCCTTAAACTTTTCCTCCACCAAGTCAAAATAAACAATCACAGAGGAATTACACTTTTTAGAAGTCATAATCCAATGCAGAGCTCCATTCACAAGAACCCCATTCTCACGGCACGAAATTGAAAAAGAAGACTCCCTTATCTCTTTCCAGCAAAGGGTTTTCAAATCAAAGACACATACATAAACTCCAAAACTTTCCGACAACATAATCACTTTATAACCATTCGTGGATGAATCAAAACAAAGTCCATAAAGCATGCTAGAACCAGAATTTATATAATTATAAGGGCACGAAAACATCACATGCTTTCTAATAGTCGGATTCCATAAAACAAATTCATTGTCCCTGTTTCTATTGGGCGACATAAAGGCTTTGTAATTGAAACACAATAGAATCAAACCATCGCAAGTACACAATACCTTGGCATAGGAGTACGAGGTCTTCCAAGGCGAATCGACCCTTTTCGATTCATGAAGAGATTTGCAGTCAAGGGAGATAAAGTGGTCATTGGAGGGATGTGTGACCATGAGTCTTTGGGTGTCGAGGGATTGGGTTGATCGGTGGAGGTGGGTTTTGATGAATTGGGGATCGGAGATCATAGATTGCCATGATTTGCATACGCATCTGTATTGCATAAGATTCTGAACGGGGAGTCTTGAGAGTATGTCGAATAAGATATCGTCCGGAAGTCTCTGCGATTCAGTTGTTTGTGAGGGTTTGGTTAAACTTTCCATGGCTGACTTCCTCACTTTTCTCCTCAAAAGGATTAGAGCTTTAACAAGGGGTTCTTAAATTCTTAAACTCCCTCTTCCGTTCTTAATTAGTAGTAGATAGTGTCTCAAATTAGTTGTAAACATCTTTTCATTATATTTTTAATATTATTCTTTAACTTTTAAAAACAATTTCAAACTTCATAATTATATATATATTTAAATTAATAATAATAATTTAATAATTTTAAAAAAAAACAATACATTAATTACATATCTTTTAAAAATTTTAATTTCTAAATTGAACTTCTATTTAGAAATAGAGGTAATACTTGAAATAGTCTAAGGAGCCCGGATAGTTCTACCATTGAGAAGTACTAGTATCATATACATACTATTCAAATACGTGTTTGATGGAGTACCTTTTAAACATATTTATATTTTTAAATTTTAATAATACTTCTAAATACCTTACAACCAAGTTTTAATAAATTTTTAACATTAAAATGTAAACGTATTTTTAATAAGTATTGAACGTTGAGATATAACTTTTACAACAAAAATAACATAATATAATTTGATCAGAAATAGTCTAACCCCTATATTATGCTAATGATTGTATTTAAATTTATAATATTTAAAAATTATTATTACAAATTTATTATATATATATAATTTATTATTTTTCTATTGTCGTATTTATCGTACTCATATCTTATTATCTTGTATATACATGTGAGCTTCAATCTAATTTTGCCTATTCTAACTCCAAACATGATCGGGATTCAAACTTAAAACATCTTTCAATTTATTTTATTAGCTTAAACATTCATTACCCTTCAGGAGTCTAAAAATTGGACTCTGGGTTCAACCAAACGTGAAAAAAAAAAAAAAAAAATTATGGTTCAGCCAAACGAAGAATAATATATATATTGGAATTAAAAAATAATAATAATATACTAGTATTTTGATTATCTAAAAATTGGACTCTTGGTTCAAATTTTGATTATCTAAAAATTTAACTCATAAAAATTAATATAAAAAATGAAAATGGTTCCTCAACTCCAACCTAAAAATCCGAATACAAGGGGAAAAAAATCATAATTCTTTTCAAGTTTTTAAACTCTATATGCTAGTTACATGAGGTTAAAGTTGAAAAAAAATAATAATAATAAAAATTTCCTTTGTTCGCATTCTAGTTCTAAAACGTGTGATATTTTTAGGTTGAATTGTAATTAGAAAATGCTTGGTCCAAAGTAAAATTTTGGAACAGTAAAGTTGTTCCATTATGAATTTAAAGTTGCTTTATTATTACTTTAAAGTTATGAATTTGAAGCCAAAAAAAAAAAAAACTGTGGTAAGGTAAGTTACATAATTCTGTGACATGGTAAGGTGGTATGACTATTTTTACGAAAGTTGTACTTTAATATTGTTTCAATTAAAGCTTAATACATGACCATTAGTATTTTCTCTTTTGATTTTTTTTTTTTTTCCTTTCCATTTTTAAGTCCATCAATTAAAATGTGAACCCTAAAACTTGAGGAACTTGTAGAATATGGATCATTTGCAGTGTAACATTTACAGTGAAGAAGAAGATGAGGTTAAAGTAACAAACAATTTTATTAACTTTTTTACTTAAAGTTATCCTTTGGCCACCCACAAACTGGTTTAGAGGATGCCAAAGTAATAAACGTTGAACGATTTATCTGTATACCTTAAGGGAAGTCAGTGTAATTTAATCATTAATGCTCATAGCTTCCTTGGAAATGTATTATGTAAGTAGACATAAACAAGAAGGAAAAAATAATAATAATAATAATATAATAAATAAATAAATAAATAAAATCAATCATTTTGAACAGAAAAGGAGGTAATAGAAAAATGTTACAGTTCGTCCTAGCCAACTAGTTAAGAAGTATTAAGAGGCCATCAGAGTATAGACCATCTAAGTTTGAAGATCTAATTAAACATTTTGTAAAAATAAATAAGGTCATCCCAGAATTGGTGCCAATTAACTGCTCTAATTTGAGGTGGTGCACTTTTAAAAATTATTGAAATCTATTCTCTTTAAGCAAGCCTCAACTTAAAAACCCTCAACTTAAAAAGAAGGTTGGCAGCAGATCAAAAGTACAATCATCTAAGAAGTAGAATGCATTTAACGGACAACTGAATGAACTTAACTGACTCGAGAAAATAAATGAAAGAATCAAAAACTAAGTTTATAAAGATATACCTACCAAACAAAAAATTCAATAAAGATAATCAAAACTTGTTACAGCATAACTGAAAACCTTATACTATAAATAATTGTGTGAGAAATATGTAAATGGGGGGAGATGCAACAACGACAATATATCATTGCATTAAAACACTCTTGTATCATTTCTCTTGTATTGTGAAAACCAAGAAGGAAAAAACCAAAAAAAAATCTTAGGAAATTTTCACTAAGGAGAAATCGCAATACTTGCCTAGATTGAATTCCTAAACATAACATTTTATCTTTGCTTAAAATTAGACAAATCATCAAAAATCACACTCCAAGAATTAGTGCTCTTGTCTATAACCGCAGAAATCTAAGTTATGTTTCTTAAGGACAGTAATCAATAAAGTAATAGCAAGCAGAGTAATCAGAGTAACACCCAATAATTAGAATGGTTATTGCCACAAAAATTACCAAGATTAATTTAGTGAACAAGAAAAAAGTAGTAAGAGAAATACCACAAACTAGAGAATATCCACAATGCATAACCACGTCATAAAAAAATAATAATAAATAAATAAAACACCTCACTCAAAAATGATATCCTCTACTTGCTAATAGTACTTAAAGCTCAAAAGAAAACTAAACCAGTAAAAATTGTTCAACAGGACTTCTATCTCTTGAGTAGGTTCAGTAATCCAACTACTTGTTGGCAAAATCCAATAATTTTTGTTCAAAATATTATTTATTGACATACAATCATTAAATTTTATTTATTTTTTTTATAAGCAAGATGATTTTTTATTGATCAAGCAACCGTTACAAGATCAAGGAGGAATAACACCACAATTCAAAGTAAAACCAGGGCATTCTCAGCAAACCTAAGCAAACATCTAAAAGAAGAGAGACAAGAGAATAATTTTTAATGTATAATGATTAAAATTTTACATAAAATATAAGGAAAAATTAGTAATATTTTAGACCATGATTAGAAAAATACTTCTCATTCAACATAAACTTTAAATATTATATTATTTGCATTTTGTTTTATCAAGTATAAATATGCACATACATGGATGCCAGATCACAGACATGATTATATGGAAAATTGAAATAAACAAAGAACTGCAAATAGTATCACAGATCTAATGTGCTTCCCTCAAATTAAGGGTTCCATCCTATGTTATTTTATGCTGACGAAGGAAATCCCTGTTATCTTAATTACTGTAAATAAAATAAAAGTGCCCTATGAAGAATCCCCACGATGGTCCTATATATGAACAGAGAACACTCTTCCAATTAGAGTGTTGTGACAAATAAACAGATTTATTAATTTTTCACACTCAAAGTCATCATCTAACCGCCCACAAACAGGGTTAGAGGAAGTATACGTTAAACGATTTATCTATATATACCTTAAGGGAATTCAGTGTAATTTAATCATTAATGCTCATAACCTCCTTGTAAATGTATTATATAAGTAGACATAAACAAGAAGGAGGTAAAAAAAAAAATCACTTTGAACAGAAAGAATGTAATAGGAAAATGTTACCGTTCTTCCTCCTGGGAGCACCAACAAGTTAAAGATGTTGGATCTTTATGAACGAAGGCCGCAACTCTTTCATATAGAATTGCAACAAATCACTTGGTACAAAAAGTACCAAGTGGCCATCAGAGTATAGACTATCTAAGTTTGAAGGTCTAATTAAACATTTTATAAAAATAAATAAGGTCATCCCAAAATTGGTGCCAATTAACTATTCTAATTTTTTTTAAAAAAAGGGTGCACTTTTAAAAATTATTGAAATCTATTCTCTTTAATTAGCCTCAACTAGAAAAGAAGGTTGATAGTAGATCAAATATACAGTGATCTAAGAAGTAAAATGCATTAAACGGATAACTGAATAAACTTAACCAACTCAAAGAAAATAAATGGAGGAATCAGAATCTAAGTTTATAAAGATATAACTTCCAAACAAAAATATTCGACAAAGATAATCAAAACTTGTTACAACCAGGGCGGAGCTAGAGGGGGGCCAACACGGGCCGTGGCCCCAAACTTTTTTGAAATTTTTTTTTACTACCCCCTAAATATTAATTAATTTGTAAATTTCGTCCCTAACATTATTAAAAATTTTAAGTGGCCCTCAATATGTTTTACACATATATTGACCAGTCAAGTTTTTTTGAAAATTCTATTAATAGCCCCTAAATATTAATTAATTTGTAAATTTGTCCCTAAAATTTATTAAAAATTTCAATTAGCCTCCAATTTTTTTTTCAAAACATATATATTGACCCAAAATAAAGAGTTTGAAAATAAAATTAGTTTGTGTCTCCTTGAAATTTAAATTTTTTTCAACTTGCACTATTTTAACTATACTTCTAAAATTTCAAATATTATGAAACAATTGATAAAAAAATATATATATTATAATTTTCTTCTTCCAAAAATTAGAATTTTGAAAAAATGAAACAATTGATAAAAAAAAATTGATTTTCTAATAATGCTTATTTCTTTAAGTTTCTTCTCCATAATTTTCTTTCTAACATCAATTTTTTTTTTCTACGTTGTATTTTGCTCAATTTTGAATTTTCTCAAGATATATATACTATGGCTAGTATTTAAAAATATATATATTACAATTGATTTATAATTTTTTTATTTATTTTTGTTACATAGTTCAAATCCGGCCCCCAACCTTAAATTTCTGCTGGCTCCGCCCCTACTTACAGCATAATTGAAAACCTTATACTATAGATAATTGTGTAAGAAATATGTAAATGGGGGGAGATGCAATAACGACAATATATCATTGCATCAAAACACTCTTATACCATTTCACTTGTATTGTGGAAACAACCAAGAAGTAAAAAACCAAAAAAAATCTCAAGAAATTCCTTCATTAAGGAGAAATCGCAATACATGCCTAGATTGAATTCTGAAACATAATGTTTTCTCTTTGCTTAACATTAGACAAATCATCAAAAATCACACCCCAAGAATTAGTGCTCGTCTATAGCCTTAGAAATCTAAGTAATGTTTCTCAAGGACTGTAATCAATAAAGTAAGAGCAAGCATAGTAATCACATGGTAACACTCAATAATTAGAATGGTTATTGCCACAAAAATCACCAAGATTAATTTAGTGAACACGAAAAGAGGTAGTAAGAGAAATACCACAAACTAGAGAATATCCACAACACGTCATAATAAATAAATAAATAAATAATAAAACACCCCACTCAAAAATGATCCAGGATCCTCTATTTGCTAATAGTACTTAAAGCTCAAAAGAAAAGTAAACCAGTAAAAATTGTTCAACAGGGACTTCTATTTCTTGAGTAGGTGCAATAATCCAACTACTTGTTGGCAAAATCCAAAAATTTTAGTTCAAAATATTATTTATTGACATACAATCATTAAAATTAATTTATTTTTTTATTTTTATTTTTTTATATAAGCAAGATGATTTTAATGGTTCCATCCTTCTCATAAAATATAAGGAAAAATGAATAATATTTAGACCATGATAAGAAAAATACTTCTCATTCAACACAAACATTAAATATTATATTATTTGCATTTTGTTTTATCAAGTATAAATATGCACATACATGGATGCCCGATCACAGACATGATTATATGGAAAATTGAAATAAGCAAAGAACTGCAAATAGTATCACAGATCTAATGTGCTTCCCTCAATATAAGGGTTCCATCCTATGTTATTTTATGCTGACGAAGGAAATCCCTGTGATCATAATTACTGTAGATAAAATGAAAGTTCCCCATAAAGAATCCCCACGATGGTCCTATACGAACACAAAACACTCTTCCAATTAGCTTGGTTACTTTTCAGCCTAGCAATCGTTCTATTACCTAATTCTTGAATCTTTTAGTCCCAAGATCTCTAATAGCTATAGGTTGAGATGTATAAGATGCTCATATTTCAAAAGTTAAATGATAACTTCATTGTAAGATAAACAAAAGCATAAAGAATCACAATGATAAAAAGAGAGGTGAGTTGATACTGCAAGGTTCATCCATGGAAATTAAAAATGAGGACTTCATCAAAATGCAATTAAGCAATTAGTTAGATACAAAAATGTGGCAACCCTGTTTCTATTTGTACATGCAATTACAATAACCTCCCTAGAAACAAAGTTTTATGATTTCCTATTCGACCTGATTCACACCTTAGTGGTGTAATCGCCATCATTTAGTAAAACTAGACTCTCCACATATGTAGCAGCTCTCAAACCATAATACCAAAAGCACTGTGGAGGCTTAATTGTACCTTCTTCTGGATTGTACACTGCTAGTTCCCTGCTGTTGCCTATTTCCACATAAACTTCCCTTGGTCTGTACCCTGCTAGTTCCCTGCTGTTGCCTGTTTCCACCAAAACTTCACCGTTCTTCATCAAACACAAAGGCTTCAAGGACCAAAAAAAGTTGCTTTCTATTTGAATTGGGATGGTAATCAATTTAATCCATGATTCCTTCTTCCCATATTCTTTCATTGCCCATACCTCCATCACTCTTTGATCCCTCCATCCATACACACAAAGCCATCCTCTCAAATCCACCAAATCCAATTTACCAAATTTACTCCCACAATCCGGTTTCGGCACCTCCTTAAACTTCTCCTCCATCAAATCAAAATAAACAATTACAGAGCTCCATTCACACTTTTTAGAAGTCATAATCCAATGCAGAGCTCCATTCACAAGAACCCCATTCCCACGAGACGAAATTGAAAAAGAGGGCATCCTTATCTCTTTCCAAGAAGTGGTTTTTAGATCAAAGACCCATACAGAACTTTGGGGCAAGAAAAAACTTGGCGACAAGAAAATCAGTTTATAACTATTCGTGGATGAATCGAAACAGAGTCCATAAACATTTATAAAATTACAAGGGCAACGAAACATCACATGCTTTCTGATACTTGGATTCCACAAAACAAGTTCCATGTTACTATTTCTATCGGGCGACATAAAGACTTGGTAGTGAAAACACAATAGAACCAACCCATCGCAAGAACACAATACCTCGGCATAGTAGTACGAGGCCTTCCAAGGCGAGTCGACCCTTTTCGATTCATGACAAGATTTGCAGTCAATTGAGAAAAAGTAGTCATTGGAGGGATGTGTGACCATGAGTCTTTGGGTGTCGAGGGATTGGGTTGATTGGTGGAGGTGGGTTTTGATGAATTGGGGATCGGAGATCATAGATTGCCATGATTTGCAGACACATCTGTATTGCAGTAAATTTAGAACGGGGAGTCTAGAGAGTATGTTGATTAAGATTTTGTCTGTAAGTTTATGCGATTCAGCAGTTTGTGAGGGTTTGGTTTCAGTTTCCATGACTGATTTCTTCAATTTTAAACTAATGTACTATATTTTTATTGGTTTATGTTGAAATGCAGTACCGAGTTACACAAAGTAATATTATTAGGGCTGGGACTGGGCATAACCCCTTGAGTTTGGCACGGGCTGAGATGTTAGATGTTAGAACCTTCAGTTTGGCATGAGCTAACCCCTTGAGTTTGGCATGCGCTAACCCCTTGAGTTTGGCATGCCTAGAAAATAGGAAAGAATGCACAAATTTTCTTCGTTCAGTAGAGATGATATAAAAAAAGAAAGGATAATAGGAAGATTATCCTTCCTATTATAGAAGTTTTAAATTATTCAATTACTCTTCATAAATATTTAATAAATCCTATAAATAAAGTAAGAAATAGGTTTAATGGGAAAAACAAGTTAAAAATTATCTTTCCTTTTATCCTACCAATTAAATTAAATTATTATCTTTTTTCATTCTCTTTTATCCAACCGAACAAAAGAGATAAACGCTTAATCTCTTCCCTATAAATGTCTCAGTTTTCCTTTCTTCTCTCCCTTCTATTCAATTTTTTCCTTCCCACCAAACGGAGCATTATAATAAGATAATGAACTAATATGTTACATGTGTAATGTGTTGAACCCTTCAACCTTCATACGACACTCAACCCTAATAATTAATAAAATAATTTAATTATGTCGACTCATTTATGATCCAAACCCATTTAAAATTAAACTCAAACTCGTTTATATCGTATCGAGTTTAAATTGTATTGGCAAATCGTGTTCAAATTTTGCCACCTCTAACTATAGTATAGTATATTTTGGTATTGGGAATAATAATAAGAGTAAAATGCAAGAAACTCCTTCGACTATCCAAAATTGGCGCACAAAGCCGAACTAACAATTAGACATAAAACCTCCCTTGACTACCTTAGCAAACAATTTAGCGCAACACCCCATTCAAAAGAGATTGGATTCATAATTCTTTTTAAGTTTTAAAACCCTATATGCTAGTTACATGAGGTTAAAATTGTATTTTTCTCGTTTGTTTGCATTATATTCTAGTTCTAAACATGTAATATTTGTAGTTTAAATTGTAATTAGAAAATGTCAAGTAGAACTTTGTGAAGTAATATTAAAATTATTCCCTTTTGACGTGGAAGTTGCGAATTATAAATAAGGAACAGACTCGTTTTTCTGTGACATGATAATATGGTATGACTATTTTTATTAGCAATATGATTTCAGTTAAAGTTTAATATGACCTTTAGTATTGTCTCACCATTTAAATATATATATATATATATATTGATTTCTTGGTTATTATCAGGTTATGTTTACCCAAGTAAGTCAATCACCTTTCTGAATTTTCTAAAATTTGAAGAACCGTAACTTATGTAGAGCCTGAGTTGAAGAAATTTATCTAACATTGAATATAATTTATTTTTAAATTATCTTTTTTACCTTTAAATTATATTCAGTGATTATCATATTTGGTGTGAAGAAGAATTTATATATTATGATTAACTAAAGCTTGGACCGCTTGGCGTGTACTTGCCATGTATATCAAAATTGTTATCTATGTTTGGACATGAGAGAAAAGTTAAAAAATAATTTTCACCAAAAATATAAAAAAAATAAAATTAGGAAAGGTGAGGGGAAAAAACACTAATAAGACCATACAAAGAATTAAATTAGACTGAAAGTATTTTTATGTAGGAAGAGAATGAGAAGTAATATCTAGTAAATAGTATACTATTATACTTAATATAGTTTGTTGGTTATGGGAATATTAAAAAAAGTGATAGTTTAGCTAAACCAGAGGGAGAGAGAGAGAGAGTTCTTCTAGAAAGGAAAAATAATTAAGCTCTCATTTACTTGAAAAGTACCAAAAAACAATAGAAGATAAACTGATCAGCATTAGAAATAACTGTTTTATACCCCTTTTTTTTCTTTCTTTTTTCTTTTAAATGGTAAGCAAATAACAGTATGTGAAAATAATATACTGTACTAGATAGTAAATAGCAGTATGTGCAAGGCCTAAAGAGAAGGCCCATGAACAGAAAATAAAATGCTTCAAGAGAAACCCAACATTACAATGGCCCAATCCAGACCCAGAATTGGACAACTTCATGTCAAATGGCCCAAAATAAAATGTTTCATGGTTTATCCCCTCTCTAGATTAACAACTTTCACAATTTGTGTATTAATTTTGGTCCAATTCCTATGTTGCAACTTCTCTCTTTTTTTTATTTTGTGCTTTGTCTCATGTCAATTTCAATATATATATATATAGAGTAGCGAAACTTTGGCATAAGAGTTGGACATAATTCTTGGATTAATTCCTTATATTTGTATACATTGACCAATTAAAAATATTTCGATCAAAAAAAATTTAATAACAAGGACACAACCTAGGAAAATCAATTTGACATTTCATCAAAACCAAGTATTGCTTCCATATATGCCTTGCAAATTGGAAGTCCTTTATTCTCTGTGTGGCAAATACTGCAACCAACATCTTATTGAGAAACGTGCTAGTTTTAAAAACTTTTTGAGGGATTTTAATTCATAGATCTTGATTCATCACAAAGAGACAAGTTTTATGCAAAAATAAAACATGATGTATCATTCAATTAAAAGATTGAATACTTATATCAAGGTTTGAGTAAACCTTAGATCTCTCCTCTAAAGTGAATGTTCTCACTTATTGTAGATCCCTTTTGCTAGACACCTTTTTCATAGATCTCTATCTTTTTGGTAATGGTCTTACCTTTAGGAATCACTCATAAGCCTCCATGAATGACCTTGGAAAACTAGGATTGTGGGAGCCTCCATTAGATGAGAACACTAACCATAATTTTCTAGAGAGAGAAGATTTATTCCTTTTTCCTTTTTCCAAAAATCACACCTAAAATATACATAGACCATGTATATTTATAGGCAACATAAAAATAAAGAAAAGGAAACAACAAATCATTCTCAATCTCTAATTCATATGTCTCAAATCTAATATGATTCCAATATCAAGTTGGGCTATGAGTGAGAATCCATTGGGCCTATTATTTTATTAGCTACAATGAATTAATAATTGGCCCGGTTCATGGACCCAATTCAATTAATTCATAAATTAATTTCTACTCCACTAAAAGAAATTAATTGAACTCCAATTAAATAATAAATAACCTCTAAGTCAATATTGCACTTTGACCCCTCTATGCATAATTAGTTATCGGATAAATAAAGCCATCAATCCGACTACTTAATTAACATATATATTTTGGTACCATTGATTATTTCTGGCTCGATCACAATAAAACATTTGTTTGACAAAAATAATAATTTAAATAAATAAATATATAATAAATCATTTTGTCTAAAAACACACGAAGGCCTTCGAATTTACTTTGTGATCAACCATAATCAATACAAAATAAATACAAGTAGTAATAATGCAAATATTGAAAATATAACCCTCTAACTATTAATCATATAACTACCCAAAGTGTCGGTCTAAGGATCCCGAAGAATCCGCCGAACAAATCAAAGTAATTATTAATTAATAATTAATAAATATCTCTTGTAATCAAATGGACACTATCAATTCTATAATGAATCGAAACATAATACATTGAATTCACCAATTGTATAAAGCATAAATATTTCAGAAACGTCAGGAACATATGTCACTATAATCCAGATAGGAATTTGTTATGCCAGGGCATATAAATCCCAACAGCTCCCACTTGCCCGCATAGCCAATTTCAAATTGCATCTAACTCCAATGTTATCCAGATGACGATCAAAATTATTGATCAATGACACCTTTGTTAATAGATCAACAAAGTTGTGTTCCAATGCAATGTTCTAGCCATAAGTACATTTTCTTGCTGGACAATATCATGTAAAACATGATACTTCCTCTCAGTGTATCTTGTTCCTCTATGGAACCTTGGGTCATTGGTTTGGACTACTTTTGCACTATTGTCGTAATTTTGCTCAATAGGCAGGCTAGTATGCTCCGCAACCTCTAAATCAGTGAGATCAAACCAAACAGGCTTCCATTGCCGCCTTTAAGGCTGCAATGTACTCCACCTGCAGGTTTAAGTCAGCGGTTGAAATCTGCTTAACAATCTACTAGCTGATTTCCCTTCCATTGAGTGAACATACACCAAGTCATGAACCTCATAGTATCTACTTCTGATTGAAAATTAGAACTAGCATACCTGACTAGGACCATATCATCACACCCATAAATGAGTATGATATCATTGGTTCTCCTTAGATACTTAATGATATTTTTCACAACAAACCAGTTATCAAGTCCAGGATTAGATTGATATCTTCTGACTATCCCTACTATGTAGCGAATGTCCTATTTGGTATAGACCATGGCATATATGAGACTCATATATGCCAAAGCATAT